ATTATTATAATAATTTAAAATTTCGATAAAATCTGAATGATGTATGTCTTTTGCTTTTTATGCTTAATTCTAATGTAATATTCTTTGCTAAGGATCGATTTAGAATACATTGATAATGCACTTTCTCGCACTTGCATTCCCCCGCTAAGAGCACCCTGTATGCATGGGTGCTTCTTATATCTTGATAGACGAGTGCATTGATTGCACGAAAGCGCTGAGCATCGATCAACCAACCTAAATCTGCCTCAATGCGCTCGAACACGCGAACCCTTCAGCCTTCTATCCGGACGGACACTCTTCCTTCTCTATCCCCGTATTATCTAAACAACAATTCTCTTCTCCTCTACTCTCTGAATATAGCTCCGCCCAAGTAAATTCGCTCTGTCTGCGGTTTTCGAGGTCCCGCTGCACATATGCAAGGGTGCTTAGGGATTTGAGATTTCCGTACAAATTAACAAAACTCTTAAGCTGTCATTGCCCAGCACTCACTAGTTTGCAAATTGACAAATGATTCGATTCAAAAATTTCTGTCAATTTTATTTCAATTATACGAAAAATTAAACTAAATATAAGCATATAAAATATACGAAAAATGTTTTAAAAAATGAACAGATGTCCCTTTCCCCTCCAAACCATTTAAATTGTATATTTTATATAATTGTTTTTTAAAATCGACATATCTATATTAAATTTTCAATTATGAATTCTGATATATACATATATATCTTTATCCCATCAATATTTTCAATTTAAATAATAAAAGAAAAAGTTTTTTCTCAAATTACATTTTATAGAGGAACTTATTCTGCATAAAAATTATTCTCTACTCCTGAGGAAAGAGAGCTTTTTCATGTCGAAGTAAACTTTCGCGCACAATATTAACTGAGAAGATTAAATGGCGAGTGCATGTTAATAGCTCGTGGAAAAATTTCTGTATATGATGATGTTCGCGTCGCGCCGTAGTGCGATTATCGCAGTTGCGAGTTACGATAGCAACGCTCGATGGCACGTTGTGCAAAGTAATTATATCAGAAATTAGATAGGCCAGCTTTTAATGGCTTCCGCGGGAAAATTCTAGGGAGAAACTTGAGGAAGAAAAATCGCGATGGTATGAGAGAATAGTTTTTCATTAAATCTCGCTGTTGAACTCAACGATTAACTTTCGACGACGGGAATTTTTATCATCAATCAATATTTATACACCTAATTATATTTGTAAATTTATTATAATCGATTCCTCCGCGCCGCAATAGATTAAAATTAAATTAAAACAAAACTTTATAAAGCAAATTTTATGATAATTTTATAATTATCTTATATTTTTCCATTTATTTTGATTTAAAAAAAAAATTGTACGTTGCAGAAATTAAATTATTTTTAAATCCAATCTGATAGATGTATTCTATTTTTTTATTCTAACTTTTATCGTTTTATTAAACTAGAAATTAGTAAAAAGGAAAGAAAAAAAGAAAGACTAATTATAAAAAATTAATTATAAAGAAATTAACCTAATTTTAATATTTCGAATAATCAATAATCAATTTAGTTCTGCCAAAATAAATGCATTGATTGTCATGTGATTAATTAACGGTTGAAGGCTATGTGCGCAATTGCCTCATTAATATGGCAATAGACTTTTGTAGAAGGACGTTGGGCATTACATTACGAAAGCCATTACAATATTATTATTGTTACTATAGCGGTCTCTATATCGGCAGATTCAGCTTATTTTATAGCGGTAATTATGTAAACAGTGTTACTCGCGTTAGAATTGTATTAAAATTTAGCAATTCAACATGCACACGCGCACAGGAACGCAATGCATTAATATTCGGGCTTTATACTTTGCCGATAAATCTGCATTATATGGCATGAATATTTATAATTACATAATGTATAATTACAAATGCAATAATTATCGCACAAAAGGCTGCAAGATGTCTGTCGTCCTCTCCAAAATCAAGTATAATTGCTTCGTCCTGTTTTCTGCGGAATAAATTAAGATCTATGAAGAAAGTTCTGTTTGTTTAATGAAAATAGAATACAACTAATTTAAATTGGCTTATCCAAACCAGCATTGCGAAATAAATTGATTATTTTTATGTTTCAGGTACTTCGATACGACAACAAACAAGAAGTTGGCGGGCCGAACATAAAGCTGCGAGAACACTCGGTATAATTATGGGAGCGTTTCTTCTCTGTTGGCTACCGTTCTTTATCTGGTGAGCATCAATTATGAAATAATTCAGTAGGCCAATTTTCTAATTTTTCTTCATGATCTTTTCGAGAAAAAATTCATCGATATAAATTTTTAGATAATTATTTCATTAAAATTTTACTTTATCTCAAATTATCAAAAAATTTCTCGGCAAGAATAAAAAAAGATTAAAAATTAGACATTAAATAAAGATACGAGTCTTTAATTTCAATTTTTATTTTACATTATTATCAATTTAAAAACAAAATTGCAATTCAAGACGTTCTTAAATTGAAAGCTCAAAGTGTGAATATATCAATATATCAAAATTAAGAATAAACACATACACATATTGAATAAATAATATATGTATCTTTCATATCATTAAGAGATATTTGAAATTTGTAAATATCAATGAACTTCTCTTTAAAAGAAAGCAAACCTCATTGAGCAAGATAGTTTTAGTGGAAACCCACTTGGCGACTTTGCTTTGAAGAATTCTTGCTGCGGCGTTTATGTATCGAATCGTCGTCAAGAACGAGAGCTTTACTGACGTCGAATATTTAAGGTCAACAAACAGAGAGAGAAAGAGAAGTATAGTCTCGTCTGTCCCATGTTTTATTAATGCAAGCTCAGAAAGTGCATCTCTATAGAGTTTGTCGAGGGCTTACCCTACTCTCTCCGCAAGCTTGCTCGCAGTTTGACTATTTGCTAAGCCTCCGCGACCGTAGCGGAATATGAAGATCTTTCTTAGAAAGGGACTTGAGAGACGGGAAAAACCTTATCTCGGAGAGAAAGTTTAAAATTGTGAGAAAATGTAAAACGCAGAAGAAAGATACCATGGTCCAGCAAACAAATCGATGAAATTTTAGAAAATTTGTCAATAATTATAATGTGGTCAGGTTACCACTGAACAAATAAACTTTGCAGTAAAAAACATCCAAAAGTTTATTTAAAAAATACAAATAATTAAGATACTTCAATTTTAAATAGAAAGAATTCAGATAATTTTGCTTTATATGTCTCTATAAAAATTCATTTATACAAAAATTCTATTTCTGTAAAATTACATACTATTAAAAATTATATAAAATTGTACTAATAAAATATATTTTTTTAAATCTGTTGAACTGTTTTAATAAAATCGGTATAGCAAAAATAAATTTAAATGTATCCTTGTAAAGTTATCAAAATGCCACATTATTTTATTCATGCATTCAAATCAGTTTGGTTCTCGCAAAGTGTAATGTTACAGCATAGCGATAAAACATTTTATCGAATACCAAATGGCTGATAAATAAATACGCACGCTTTTTCGCCTGAAAATGTTGTTCTCTATGAAAATAGAGCAAAGCGATACATAGATATATGAATGTGCAGCAAGACATCTCCATTTTGCAATTCGGTTTTTATTCATGCAAATGCACAAAGCGCATCACTCTACTGACCTAAAAGCTCGCATTAGTTTCGTAGTTCGGCCATTTCCCAAATCGCGTTATCGACTTTTGGAGGATCGACTCTCTTATCACATGAATAATTTTACATTTCTGAAAAAATTGTGTTTTAGTAAGTCTCTTTAATAATCTTTTTAATATCTATATAATTATTTTCGTATTAAACTAAAAAATTATTACGCTTTGTCAGATTCATTAAGATATATATATATATTTTTATTTTCATTTATTATATCTGTTAAAATATAATCGTCTTGGTAGATAATTATTTCTAAGAATAAAAAAATAAAATATAAAATTGAATAAATAAGAATAAAAACAAAAATTCTTAAAATTTTTGAAAAAATGCGACAAAAATTCTCATTTTAATAAAAAATATTTTCTTTTTGCCGATTATTTCTATACAAATAAATATATGTATATGTATAAGTAAATATACATATATCTTATTTTTCCTATTTAGAGTAGGAAATTCGACATTGTCATCTATTTCTTTACGCGACACATAGAATAACAAATAAGAATAACTATAGAAATATAGAAAAATCTTATTCTGGAGTTAATCCGTAAAAATGGATATGTATATAGTTGTAATAGCGATCAACTGCATTTTCAGAGTCCAATTTATTCGATTGATATCGGTGGCTTTGTAATTTTCGTCAAACGGAGATGCCGCCACCACAAATCTATGTCGATCTGGTTAATATTGTTCTATGTCGGTATCGCGATCGATGCTTCGTGCATTAATAATGATATGTCTGTGGTCGAAAATACGGTCGCATTACGTTCTTAGCTGCATTATTTCGATTTATACAGGATGTAGCCCATCAAGCCAATAATGTAATCTTTTATTGTGTATATACATATATGATGGATTTTTTGATGAATTTAAAATAAATCTTTTCTTAAAGAGAAAATCGTAGAAGATTCGCAATACAATATTTTTAAGATTGTTGAATTCTTTGCACTATATTTTAATTTCTAAATTTAATTTTTAAATAATTTGGAACATATTCTATTTTAAAATAGATTTTAGAATAAAGAGAAAACAGATTTTTAACATATCTAACTTAAAATATTGTAATATACACACAACATATCTAATTTTTCAATTCAATTTTAAAATAGTTTAAAAGAAATATATTTGAACGCAAACTTTAATAAACATTAGATTAATTCGCAATAAGATCATATCAAAACACATTTTCAAATAACTATTTTTATGAAAACATCACTATTTATATTATTTAAAGCGACCACATTCAAAAGTATGAACTCTATTCTAAAATAAATTTTTCTTTAATAAAAATAAAATAAAATAAAATAAAATAATATTCCAAAATTATTAAATATGTTTAATACCTTAATTTTTGAGAATATGTGTGAGTTAAAATAATTACAACAGACATTCTTGTCAGTTTGGACTGACAAAAGATTTGTTGTCAGTTTGATTTACAAATTTACATGATATTTGAAACGTTTTGAAACAATTATGATTGTTCGTATTAAGTAAATGTATATCTTCAGCAATTTATCTCGTTGAATAAAATTCTTGGAGTAACAGTTGTCAAACGTGATAATACTTCGAAATCGTAAGAAAAAAATAAAAATTATAGATGCTGCGCGTAAAGAATTCAAAATGAATCTTATTTTCACACCGATGGCGCACGTAAAAAGGCAATATCGAAACATTGATTTAAAATCCGCATAATGCAGATGTATCTATATGCAAAATACTCGGCGCGCATGCTGTAAGAAAATACAAGAGGCAAACGCAAAAAAATCTCATTTCCCCGTCGTAATTTTGATGCAGAACAAATCCCATAAATATCTAAACGTCATATCTGTATTCGCACCTCTCAAGTTACCGCACTGAGATATCCTTATCGAAAATTATGGCGCACCGTATTCGGCTGATCTCTTGACCTTTTTCCTGCAGATTTACAGCCTCTTACTCTGCAAATCTCGATCCGGATTATTAATGTTACCGTGGTGCTCCCAAAAACTTTTTCCTCCAAAACGATCGTTGTCGTTGATTTACGTTATTGCGTTATTTATGTGTGTTGTGTTTTTAGATTAAAGCAGAAAGCTTTATTTACCGATTTTTTTTACTGTATATATACATGCTTTTAATTTTTATATTCTTTAAAATAATTTCTATTTTCCTTCGTTTACTTTTTATTAGCTCTCTATATCACAAAATTTACATATGCAAGAAAGCTTTTTATAAATTAAATCTATTTCTCCTTTTTTAAATACTTTGAATCATATAATATTTCCCCTTAAAAATACACGTATTAAATTATATATGTATATACCTTGATTGTTTGACACAAAATATAATTATAAATTTAATTTTAAGAAATATTGTTTAAGACGTATCGAAGATAATCTCTCTCCACAGCTTTACATATATCTATTCTTCAAAAATAGGTTTAAAATGGTTTGCGAAACTAAAGTATTTCGATTAATTTCTCGAGCAAATGTAAACATGATTGTTTTCTGTCATTCTTTCAGGTATCTGACGACGTCGCTGTGTGGCGAGGCCTGTTATTGCCCGAACACGGTAGTATCGGTGCTTTTTTGGATAGGTTATTTCAACAGCGCCCTAAATCCGCTTATCTATGCGTATTTCAACCGCGATTTTCGCGACGCCTTCAAGGACACGCTGAAGAGTGCCCTGCCCTGTTGCGCCAATTGTTGGAAGACACCGTCGCAATTCGTGTAGCGCGACAAGATTCCCAGAAATCTATTTCTGAAAGGCGAGTTTATCATCCCTCACAACCCCTATCATTTTCTCTCTTTCTTTTTTTCTTTTTTTTTACGGGTTTCCAGTCAAAGCAAAATCGAGCCACTTCGTTCCAGCGATTTTTGAACATCAATCGACATTGTTCGCAATTAAACCTTATTGCCCGGATCTATTGACTTCACACACCATTGGCTTTTCCGTTATTCGTAACTTTGTGCGAGGCGCATATGTTACGTTGATTGTTTATCGTCACGCGATGCACGCTTTAGCAATTGTACTCTCTTTTACTTGATCGTTATGTATGATATAATATATTTCCGCTTTAATTATTTATAAATATTTTTTCGGTATTTATAAATGATACCTTAAAGAAATATGATTTTATTTTAAATAAAACAAAATATAAAAAAGATATAAAAAACAACATATAAAAGGAAAAACTTATATAACATAAAATATAAAAACAGGATTATAAATTTCAATCTGAAAAGATATATAAAAAACAATTCTGGATTTGAAAATTTACAAATTGATATTATATATGTATATATTTTACATCTCTTTTATATGTGTGTACAGTTCTTTATGAAAAATTATTAAATTTTATTTTTTCAAATTATTTAAATTTTATTCGCTCTCTAAGCGTGTTTTATCGTGTACCTTTTTAATCTTTTACGGCTCTTTCTGGAAGAATCTTTTTTCAAGTTTTAATACTTAATTTGGACAAAATATTAATTATAAATATTCATATAACTGTGTAAACATTTGAGGTAAAAACTCGAATTGAAGCTAAACAATTTAATCATTGATTTGCGATCTTCAAAGTGTGAATTCCTATCAATTACAACCATAGTCATCCTTCTTAGGACGACGATCGGCGGCACGTAATTGCCTGCCATATAATCGTTGTCCCGAAATACACTCGGTAATGTAATCCCCACTATCATATCGCTGGCGGAAGCACACGACAAACGCTTTCGAGAGATTTGAGATCGAAATTAATGCTCCCGAAGAGCGGGGTCATTAAAACGGATATTACCGAGTAGAATAGATGCTATTACGAGCGATTATCATTGATATGCTTCAATTTGCGATTTTAAGACGGAATTTTCTTTTGGCGTCGATAACAGAAGAAATTCACCAAATGTCATAAACTTAATGAAATAGCAAGAATTCCTAAAAAATTTGTAGTTGCAACTATTAATTCGCTGATATCCACAGAAAATTAACAAAATTTTATTCAGAAGAAAAAAACCATCTCTGTCTATATTAATTAGATTGAGTTTTTAAATACATAATTTTTTTTCCATCTCTTTCTTGAATATAAAAATATTAATTTATATAAGAAGGTAAATTATTTTAAAAAACCACTAATATACAATCAATGTTTTAATCTTTTTTTCTTGCAAAAAATTCAATATTTTATGAGTAAAATTTCAATAATTTTCGTAAAAATAAAATAAGTTTAATAATAAATAAATTTCCTTAAACATTTTGGTATCAAGTGCCCAAACATTACATCATTAATTATTTAATATATATTATTATTTATAAAATAAGTGTACACATAAAAGCGAGTATAGATTATCTTTTTAACAAAAATTTATCTAATTTTCTGTGTATTTGTAAATTAATAATAATAAAATCTTATTTTTACTATCGTATAGGCAGAATAATTTCGCGCAAAGAGAGCGACGTCAGAAGTTACGCGAACATGGATAAGCGCGTGCAAGGTACGCACGAGATCACAAAGGATTTGTTAATCTATGCTTACTCTGTAAATACGTCGAGATGCCCGGTTAGCGCTAATTAGATGTAATTATTAGCGCGCCGGCACATGTGTAAGGCTGTAATATATGTAACGCGAGATACTTAAAGCAGCTAGTAACGAGACCGCATATGTGTGTGTAATATTATCGTAATCACGAAACAATAACGCCACGATGGATCAGCACGCAGAATTTATAAAGAGACGTTCATCGTGCGCGCCATATTACATGCCTGTATAAATGTACTATATAGCAATAAAGTTGGGAGACAGATTGTAAATATAAAATAATATAAAAGCGTTTAGAAATGTGTGTGTATGTGTGCACGCGCGCGTGCACTACTTGTGTTTTTGTAAGTAAAATGGATATATTATACACACATATTGGCGTCGAGTTTTGTGTATCTTATGTGTTGCTTACATGTACACAATAGGGAAATTTAGTAAAAAACGTACCAGGGCGACATAATTAAATGAGCACCTCTCTCATTGTGTTCAAATATATGTCATTATTTCTTTAAATCATAAGATCTCGCATTTTTATTTGAGAAAAAAGAGAGAGAAGAGTGACTTATTATTTAAAGAAATAAAAATATATATTTCAGACCAATAAAGCGTCTGTGTTTACTTGTGCCATCCTAGAATATATGTACCTGTAAAGGTATTCCGTCTTTTTTGTTAACATATTCTATTTATCCATATTTTTTAAATCATTGAAAAATGTATTGCTTGCAATAATTGTACTTGGATAATCAAAAGTTGTAATATCTTATCAACTCTTGCTCTATTATGGTTTCCTTTTCAATAATAAAGATAATAAAAATAAAAATAATAAAAACGTAAAAAAATGTCTCGACGATTATAAAATCAAAATACAAGAAAAAAGGCCAATTGAAAACAACAATTTCAATATTTAATTACAAAATATTATTTTTTACTCACAAATCTTTTATTTACAGACTTATTATTCTTTTAATGTTTTTTTTTTTTAAATAGAACACACCGATAAATATCTTAAAAAATTAATGCAGCACGGAATACCTTTTCTGCATCAAAATGGTTTGTTTAATCGACCGTCTCCATCTGCTTCTGGATGATTATTCGATGAGAAAGAGAGACCGAGTGCGCAAGTGAGAGAGTGAATGAGGACAAGAGATTATGCTAACGCGCACAGTTACGCGGACCGTCCGAGTAAAGACATTAATTAGAGTAATTCGCTGGCACGCACGACTTTCTCGCAATTTCTGACAAATCATATTTCTTTGTTACGTTCGCTTAATGAAATCATCGAATGTCACTAGCAAACAAATTTGCCAAATTTAAAAGAAAGCACATTTGCACGATAATCGGCATCGAAGAAAAAAGACGCGAAATATTACCGAGAGACTATTAGAAGATTCTTAAGGTATAAGAATAATCACAAAATCGATCGATCATTATTGATTAGTTGACAATAAATAATTATGCTAACGCACGGTTTTAATCAAGTACTACATATGAATTAATTTCTACATTAATTATGAGCTCAAGAGTATCAGCATTAATAAATTAATAAGAATGCATTTCTAATTCCTATGCTTTATAATTAGGACACTTAATTGTTGTAATAATAATTTTTCTAATTCAAACAATTAATTTCTACTATGCAAAGAACATAATCGATGTGCATCCAAAATCAGTGCGAATTTGAAGCAAACGTGGTAAACTTTCATTTTTTTGACACAAGTGTTCCTTTCTCAACACGTGTCAAACTTTATTTTTCTATGTATATATCATGAGATTAGTTATTATCGTCGAGGCATGTTTTATATCGGGCTTCCGTTCAAGTAAGTTTTAGCGGATCGTCATGAATACGAAAGAAAAAAAAACACGCCTGAAGGTCCATTCTCGCATATCCGAATTGCGTCAAATCCGAAAATACGTTAACGTTAAAAAAGATAAGGGCTAAAATTATACATTTAAAAAATTAGCAAAATTAATATTTTTTAAAAATACGATAAAATATAAAACATACAATACTAAAAAATATAATATCTGAAAGATAAATACGATATTATCACTTTTGTCAAGTTATTATTGAATTTATCATTTTTTTCGAATATTTATATATAAAAATTATAGAAAATTCAATATATATTTATACAAAATAAAATATACACATTTTTTAATGCATAAAGCAATTAGTTAATCTTCATCATCGAACTAAAAATGCGAAAATGGACCTTAGTAAATTTTTTTTCTCGATGCGAAAAAAGCCGTTAATAATTGATATTGGACGAAGAAACTCTCGAATTTCTCACGTCGAGACATTGTCAGAGGTGTTTCTGTCAGCGATATCAGCTATTCGCGAATAACAGAAGAGATACATTTTTTGGCCAGCGAAATAATCAATCAATATCGTTTGTTCGTGCGAAAGCAATGTTAATCTGACAATCTGTGTAGTGATGCTGAAGAAAATTTCATCTTGTAAAGAAGCAAGAGTGTAACTTAAGTCGCGCGCTGTACACTGGGCCTAAAAAAAGCGTAGCGTTTAAACGAGCGATTCTAGCGGTTCATTGCAATGGCAATTTTAGAGCGGCGTAGACGTTTAAAAGTGTCTAGCGGCAAATCAAACACACGCAGCAAGTAGAGTTAAGTGTGAATGAGAAAACGCGATGAAAGAACTGATATGTAGATAATTTATGTAAATTACGTGAACACGAGAATGAGAAATGGGAATAAAGAGAGAGAGAGAGAGAGAAAGACAAAGCAACTATAAGTGCATCGTATCGGAATAAAATTGACTCAACTGAAGTATTTTGTACAAATTATATCTTATGATTTTAAGTTTATCTTATATAAATAAAATTTTTATATATAAAATATATACAATTTTTATTTTTACGTATAAAAAATATCTGTTTTTTACTTTTTTCTATATAAAATACAGATTTTTTGGGGGATATTTTTCACAAAAAATAGATACTATCAAAAATTAAGAAATAAGAGCGAAAGATAAGATATATATCCTTTTCGTCAAACGAGCGTGATTTAGCGAGTCAATTTTGTTCCATTAGAATATAGTAGCCAATAAGAGAAAAAGAGAGAACACAAGAAGAATGGAAAATAAACGATGTTATATTGCGAAAGAAAGCATGGTGCAATCTTTAATCACATCCCCGCTCCCCAATCTACCCTGTAACATTTCTCGTGTCAATATTTTATGAGTTCCCGCATTTTACGCGGCGAATTAATTTAGCGGCGACATCGTCACGGTAGTCGAGCTTGTTTGCGGTTAACCGACGACAGAAAAGAGCGTGATTGATCGATAGTCTAACAGACTGTGTGACGGTCAAAAGTGATTCCACTTCTTCTACTCCTTCAGTATTTCTTACTACATAATATGTAATTTTCCAACAAAGAGAATCAGTATATATCACTATTAATATTTTTATTACAATAATGTATCAGTATTTAATTAACCAATATTATAATGCCCGATACTTTGGCAACCTTCTGCTTCGGTTTTATTAAATTTTACTAAAATAAAATAAATTTATTCGCGTTAATAAATAAATATAAACAGAAGTAATAAATATAAAAATGTAAGAATGTAACGAACAAGAGTAACAAATATAAAAATACAACAATCTAGAAAAATGCGTTTTTATCTCCGCGGAGATGCTCAAAGAACGAAATAAAATCTACCGGGAAATAATTTGAGCTATATTATCCGCAACTTGCTATTTTATTTTCGCACAATTTCTACAGAAAGGGATGCAAGAAAGTGGAGAAAAAAGATATTTATATTTCTCTAGCAAAAATCTTTTCCTCTCCATATTCTTTTTTTGATTATTTGGTTTATACATTTTTATTTATATAATTTTATTTTATTAAAATTTGTTTCTATAAATTTTATATAAAACTAAGCAAGTGACGGCATAAAGTTATCTACTTTATCGTATTCTGATAATAAAATAGAAAGAGTATTGTAAACAGAGAGAGAAAGAGAAAGAGAGGAAGAGAAAAAGAGAGACGAGAAAATAACATAATGGTCAAGAACATTTGCAAGCATAAATAATAATGTCTCTCTCGTGTTATTATATTACTCGCCATTACGATATTTTCCTTCATAGCAATGCACATTATGCCTTCACGTCGACGATTGAATTTCATGGTGAATTCCGTCGAGGCGATCAGAATAACAATTCCGTCTGATAAAATTGCGATCAACGACGACGAACTGCGCGCAAAGCTTCTGACAGGTAATCCCCATCCCCTTCACTCTCAGTCAGGGAAAACGCTCCAAAAAAAGAGAGACACGTTTTCGCGAGAGAGAACAATCATCGATACTTGCGTCGTTTCGTGTCGATAGACGTGTTGACAGCTGTAAAAAGACGTTTCTTTACTCTCCTGCCTTGTATCCGATCCTTATCGCAAAATACACACAATCACACATGCGTGCACGCGCGTATTTTGCGCAAATATCACGTCAAAATGAGAAAAATATTCTCCTTGCTCCCTATTAAGAAAGAAAAAAAAAAATATTCCTCATAAGTTGATCTCTGTCTAACATCAGCATGAAATTTCCCAATTTGTAGGAGAACAAAAATATTCTGATTATAAAAAAATAGGTAAATCTTCAGATTAACTTACATGGATCGTTTTCATTTTTATATAGATTGTAGAGGGTACATTTCTAAGTAATACACGCTTTGAATTTTGTGGCGCTCTCTTCTGGTTCCAGAGATATGCGATTTTGAAGTGTTTCACAGTTTTAATGCTTTTAATACTCTAGATCTTGTTGAGGATAAAAATAACTTAATAGTAAATTTTAGTTAATAGTAAATTTTAGTTTTAAATCAGAAATAGGTTTGGGTTAGATTATATGTTCCGGAAGTGGAGCCCCCCCGTAAATCGAGCGGAACCCACTGCGTCCATGCGTACACTTTCCCATCCACATAACAATTGTGAGATGGACCTCGCCTCGCATTGTAAAGTATATCCGAGAAATAGACGAAACACATTATTGACAAAATATTCATGACCGTGTACCTATCTCGTAAATGTAAACAAACACTTTTTCGTCTGCTCTACTATAAATACAATGTACACAAACTTCGCTTTTCCTAATATTACTTTATAATACCTGAGAAAAAGCATTAAAAGCATTAAAACTGTGAAACTTCAAAATCGCATATCTCTGGAACCAGAAGAGAGCGCAACAAAATTAAAAGCGTGTATTACTTAGGAATGTACCCTCTACAATATATGTAAAAATAAAAACAATCCGTGAGGTGTAAGTTAATTCAAACATTTATAGAGAGATATAAACAAGAAATATAAACATTTTTCTTTTTGTGAAGATATCTACATGTATATTTATATGGAAAATTTTATGAATAAAAAATAAGAGAGACTATTATGTTCTACACAAAATTTAAAAAAATATATGTGGAAAAGAACAGGGGAAAATGCATAGAAAACGTGTGGGAACAATGTTTCCAGAGAAAAAAGCAGAAAAAAATTGTGAAAAAAATATAAAAAAACCTTTTTTAGATCAAGATAATAGAATATTTAATATTAATGTAAAATTAAAAAATTAAACCAAATTTTAATAAAAATTTTAAAAACTGGAACCATATGAAGTCTCTCCAATAAAAAACAAAGTAATACTTTTAAAAATTATCATATTTTTTATTAAGAATGTAACATCACAAACTGAGATACTCGAGCTTTATTATATTTTGCAACGTGTTTCTCCATATAACGATAAAAATTTTCCTATAATATTAATTATTTTCTTTCTTTTTCCCACTTGTTTTTCCGTTTCCGTTAATCTGATTTAATCTCGCTGCGCAATTCTTGCATTGCTGTGGATTTTTACGATAATTCGCAATTGTGTCGTACCACGAGAAACCGCGTGTAATTGCAATTTACAAATCGGAGATAAAACCACCTTATCTGCCACGTGAAGTACAGCAGAGTACGATTCTGCGTTACATCGGACTGATTGCTCTCCAGGAAATACGCAACAATTTCCCCGCAACTACTTTTTCTTAACAACTCTTACCAAGGCAACGAATAATAAAGAAGATTTTTGTTGGAAAGAGAGAAAGAAAAAGAAAACAAGCATTTATCACAAGCTCTGGATGCTACGACGTGCATTCTGTTTAAACGAAATCCAATGTTCTTTCTCTTTTGCGCCTACGCAAGTTTTTTTTTCTTCTCATTTAATGCGACGTAAAAGCACGCAACGTAGCACTCAAGAATAAGCGATTTGAAAAATGACCGTCTTCGCGTGATGAATATCTGATGGCACAGGAAAAAATTGTTCTTGGTCCTAATGACCGAGCAAAATCTTTCAGCAAAATCTTTAAGATAATATAATACAGATTCTTATATACTAAAATAATAAAATATATTTTTGCGAATATATAATTAATCATATATAACCTCTTATAAAATTATTTTAGTTTTACTCTGTTTTGTCTTGGTTTTATATTATTTGCTTTTAAAATTACATTTTTTTAAATTTTTTAAATAAAATCCTTGCGAATATTAGTCTTAAAGCCAAGTTGTTTCTCTTTTCGCGTGCTGCATGTTGCCGTGACCGTAAATGTACACGTAAAGTCAACAGTAATATGCGCAGCGCACTTTGATGCATTATTAAACATTTTCAGCCTTTATCCACCGCTTTAGTAAAAATGTTTCTATATTACTACACAGAAACTAAAGCATTTCTGTTCTACATTTTTTAAGTGCCTAAGGTGCACCGAATGTAATCATGCTTAGGGAGAGACGGAAGATAATGCATCGTGAAAATATGTTGTATATGCGGCATGAGACACTCTTAATGAAATACATTTCGAATAGACAATAATTTAGATAAGTAATTGAAAGCTTCAAATTAAAAAAAAAATAGAAATTAGAATGCAAAACATAATAATTAGAACTCTGAAAATAAAAATAGGGAAATAAATTTCCAATGACACAAGATTATATATATAATTATTATTATAAGATATATTATTTTTTAATATAATACTAGAATTTTCTTATCATTGATTATCTTAATTATAATTATTAGATAAGTGATTATTAAATAAAAATATCTATGAACTTTGTTCGACATTTTTTATTTATTTGTAATGACAGCAACAGATTTGAAATATCGTTAAATATCAATATATCTAAGAACAAATCTCGTCTTTTTCTTTTTATTGTACTTCTCGTTCAATATATCTTTGAAGATCCGTACTTGTCATCCGACGAATAATTAATCGCGCCAACCGTTTACCATTCTTCCTAGATTTTTATCAGCGAATAAATAATCGTTCGTCAGATTCATGAAGTCACAATAGAAACTCTCACGCACTTAACAATATTCAATAGATCGACAGATAACAAATGCTTTTTATTAAAATAAAATATAAAATAAAAAATCCGCCATCCGCAATAAATTGAAATAAGTCGTGATTGCTTCTGTTTGTTCTTCTATAAAACAACAAATGTAATTTGTGTGCTAAAAAGTAAATTACTTAAATGTACTTGTACCAAATTTAAAAAAATTTTTTATTTATTAGAGAATTAAATATTATTGATCTTAAAATCAAACAGAATTTAAATTAAGCAATTAAAAATTATTTAATAATAAAATAATAATCAAAACTAATATACGTATTTTAAAACTAAAATAAAAGTATAATTATAAAAAAAGGTTTGTGCAAAAAATCAATAATTTAATCATAATTGTTATTGATATTTGCAAATATTCACATGCTTCATTTTGATAGAAATATCGAGCTTTAAAAAGAACAAATGGAAGAAATGTCACGATAAAAGAGTAAACAAGGTGAAAGATACTTTTTAATATATTATACTCCTACTCCTTTCTATGTGGAAAAAATCTCTCAAAATATGGCTTCAGATTTAAAAGAAAAGATCTCGAAAAGGGTAAAAAGATTCTGGGCCTCTAAATTAAAATGATTGAGAAGCTGCCATAATTTCTGTTGAAGTCTCGCTTTATGGTAAACAAGAGATATAAACAGATTATGATATTCCATAATTCTTCGCGTTTCGCGAGAAGAAGAAAAATAGATATAATGAGAGAAAAAGAAAATAAATGTCAAATAAATTAAGCTAAATG